CAGCAGTGCTGCAGATAAACACATTCACTGCTGAACTCACAGCTCTGAGAGCAGAAATGGAATTTTCTTATCAGCTCCAGCACATCCCTGGCCAGAGTTTGCAGTTGCTGGTGCCTGGCCCCGTTTCCCCGAGGCTTTGTGGCAGAGCAGGGGTGCTGCAGGTCAGAGTTTTGGGGACCAGGGACAGCTCTGACCCTTCTTGGGCTCCGGGAGCTCCTGCAGCCCTCGGCCCGAGCAGGGGAGCACAGCAAACACCAAAACCTCCCAGACTCACAGGGGATAACGGGGCAGAAYCACTGCCCTCATCCTCAGAAATGCCTCACTGAACAATCCCCAATCTCTCATGGCACTGCCCCTCCATCTGCAGTTTGGTGGCWGAGTTTATTCTGTTCCACCAAGGCCACGTCCCACAGTTTGTCCCTTGTGCTCTGTAATGTCCATCATCTCAGCTTTCCTGAAGAAAGCAACTSAAAGAATCTACAGTCAGCTCACATTGCAAATTATTTCACTTCTATGGCAGACAAACAATGGCTAAGAAAAGAAAAGAAAAGAAAAGAAAAGAAAAGAAAAGAAAAGAAAAGAAAAGAAAAAAAAAAAAAAAAAAAAAAAAAAAAAGAAAAGAAAAAGAGAGAAAGATCTGCTGCAATAACAGCAAAGATTCGAACACCAACTGTCATTTCTGATTTGTAAGATTTCTCTAGATAAACCTGGATTGTAAAAACATTAAATGGAAAGGGCACCTCAGGGTCAGGTTGGAAGAAGACATGGTACTGCAGTTTTGTGCCTTTTTACACAAATAAATCCCAGATGGATCTTTTATCCAATTCAATTTCTCTGGCRAGGGACAAATAATTGTTTTTGTCCCTCTTAACTGTAAGCACAGATGTCACTCCTTAGACAGGGAACGGCACCAAGTGAGCCATGGAGGCTCTGACCTGTCCAGAATTATGTGTGCACTCAGAAGGAGAAAGAATGAATAAATAATTAAAAATAGATAAATATATTAAAGAATGGAGAGGAAGGGCCTATCCTAATTTGCCTTGTGTTTCTCATACAGAATTTGTCCCCTGCTTTAGCATTCCTGACACAGACTCCACAAAGGCTCTCCAGTGCCATTTATGATCACTGCATAAAACACTCATCTGCTCAGACTTCACTCAAGCTCTGCAACAAAACTGTCATTAGAACAGAAACCCCAACATGTGAGAAACTGGCTACAGAGGAATAAACTCSCTCTCATCTTCAACAGCTCACTTCAAAGTACTCTCTAATCCATGAAAAAGGACCTGACTGTACCTCAATATTGCACTTCTTAAGTTAAATTGTGTGTGACAGTTTATGTGTGACTTGGATCCTGTAGAACTGAGGATATTGATTTAATGACATTGATAACAGCAGCTTAAAATACAAGTAGGCTTTTGCACTGAGAGATTAAGTCACTTGAGTGTTTATTAAAGCCTGTGAAAGGACAGTTTATGAAGCTCTCAGGAGTGTGCAGAGGGAAAGCAGCAGCACACGGAGTAATCCGGGATCTGTGCATGAGCTCACCCTGATCTGCATCCTTCATATCAGCCCTTCTGTGGGGAGGGGGCTGCAGGCAGCTTCTCCCCAAAAAAAACCAATTCCATTGAGGAGGGAAGCACCAGGAACAGGGCAAGGTCTGTCCCTTGAGTCTAACTCAGTGGACTCGATGGCCTTGAGGGGCTTTTCCAACCTCAATAACTGCGATTCTGTCCCTGTTCCCATCCTGGCTGCTCAGCATCCCCTACAATAACCACTGGATCTCAAAGCAAAGCCCAGAAATTCAGAGGACATTTACAGAGGAGATGTGGGATGTGTGATGGGAGCACAGCACCTGCTGGGAACCGGGCACAAACCACACTCAATGGGGGAGCCCAAAAAACGGGTGGGGGGCTGAAAGGACTGCTGGAAAGCTGGAGGAAAAGCTGCTGGAAAGCTTGAGGAAAAGCTGCTGGAAAGCTGGAGGAAAAGCTGCAGGAAAGCTTGAGGAAAGCTTGAGGAAAAGCTGCTGGGAAGCTGGAGGAAAAGCTGCAGGAAAGCTTGAGGAAAGCTTGAGGAAAAGCTGCGGGAAAGCTTGAGGAAAAGCTGCTGGAAACCTTGAGGAAAGCTTGAGGAAAGCTGCGGGAAAGCTTGAGGAAAAGCTGCGGGAAAGCTTGAGGAAAGCTTGAGGAAAAGCTGCTGGAAAGCTTGAGGAAAAGCTGCTGGAAAGCCTGAGGAAAAGCTGCTGGAAACCTTGAGGAAAAGCTGCTGGAAACTTTGAGGAAAAGCTACGGGAAAGCCTGAGGAAAAGCTGCCAAAAGGAAATGTCAGGAGCACAAGTGCAGAGCAAAAGCAGGCAGCTGTGCTGGGAAAGGCTGCCAAGAGGAGAAGCCAAGGGAGGGTGGGGTGAGCCTTTGTGAGATTAGCTCGGTTCTCCTCTCCTCCCCTGCATTTAAAAAGCAAATATTTACCTACACAGTGGTGGCCACCGAGAGTGGAGGGTGTGCCCTTTCTTTCTGCAGTGTGAACAAGGACAAACCTTGGGTCAGAGCTGCACTGATCTAAACCCTGCACTCCGTGTGTTGGGTGTCCTGTCATCCAAAACAGTTGACATTTTATCCATTCACTTCAGTTTGGAGTTCACTTGTCTCTGCTTGCAAAATACAGAATTTTGTCTCATTCAGAAAATTTGAAGCTTTGCTTTCTAAACCTCCAAAAATACCCTGGATTATTTTGAAGATGAAAGAAAAGGCACCAGAAAAGCCTCTTGTCTGTGTGTTTGTGCCTGTCATGCCATTCACAGCCTCCCTTATTGTGTGTATGATTCAAAAAATGTTTTGGTTCTGGTTTATGGATTAAATTAGAGACTAAAATGATGCTTCTAATTTAAGGATTTCCTGTCCTCACAGTGACATCCTAACTGTTCSTGTGACCTATTCAGGGACACATGGTTTATTGACTTCCCTTGCCATCTATTTCTCCTAATTACCRAGAAGATTAAAACTTTAGGGTACATTCATCTACTCAGTTACCTGGAAAAAGACAGGCAGAAAGAGCAATCATCCATTTCTGTAGGGGCTGTATTGGCTGTTTTCTTCCAAGCTGTGAGAAAACTGCATTGCAACAGATTTTGGGCTTAGATCAGCCARCTATTTTAATTTAGAGTCCATTTGACTGATTCACCCTAAGATGTAACTAGCATATGTAATGAAAAAAATTTGCAAATTGCACAAAAAGGAATTTAGGTTATGAATAGGGAATTAGAGCGTGTGATGGATAAAAGCCAGACCTTTAGCTGTTTCATTGTTGTGRAGAGAGCTGTGCCAACACACACTTTCTGAAGCCATGGACACAGCACTAAAGGCTCCCAGGGCCAACAGGAAAGTTTGCTGAATGTATTTCCTAATGGGACAATCACACAGTTAAAAGAATTGTATGAAATCACAGAGGGTGGRAAATGGTGACAGACAG